TGTCAGTGACTCCCTGTTAACTGCCAACTGGTTGGGGAGTGTTTGCTGGAGTTTCCAACCAATTATTCACCAATTATAACCTCTGGCTAACCAGTCAAGGAAATACGCATTTTTTCAATTAAATTTTATTAATATAGCACCAAATCACAAAAACAGTTACCCCAAGCCGCTTTATAGTGTAAGCTAAAGGCCCTGACAACCCCCCCCCCAAAGAAAAAAAAAAAAAAGAGACAACCTCCTGTTAGGAGCACTTGGCGACAGTGGGAAGGGAAAACTCCCTTTTAACATGAAGAAACATCAGGCAGAACCAGGCTCAGGGAGGAAGACAGGACAAAGTACACACAAAACAACCAGATCCTGACGTATATCTTGATATATCAAGATCTGGATATTTAAATCCAGTTCTTTAACCTCCTAGGACCTGGCGTCCACATATGTGGACATCACATTTTGGGTTATTTAGACCAAAATACTAAATTTTGCTCTTCAAGGGCCTGATATCCACTTACGAGGACATTATGCTGCTACTGTTCTATCAAAATTTTAGACGAATACCCTCATTTGGGACTCTTATTTTTCTTGAAAACAAAAATAAGGTAAAAAAAAAAAAATCTGGTAATTCTTTGTTTTTACATTCATCGGGCCCCAATCAGCCCAAATATCAAAGAGAAATTAAAAATGCATGCCGTGGAAGAATTCGGGTCTTAGGAGGTTAAACAAGTTTATGCATATAAAGCACACTGTTTAACAGTCCAATGCCAAACTAGTTAGCAACTTAATGTGAAGGCCCTGCACCATCATCCCCTCAGCTGTGATACTATGAAAACAATAGAGGAGCTCTATGGGACAAAGCATCTTTTTCAGAACTGATATTTTTATATTATATAATTTTTTATATTTTCAAAAAATTAGCAGCACATACTGGACAACATACCGATATTCCTGTGACAAATGTGCCAATGAGGATCCAGCTGGTTTGCAACAGAACTTACATATATGCAGTGGGCAGAAAACAAGTATCTGAGGTTTCTTAATGCTTCTCATACCTTTGAACCACAAAAGAAGAGTATTTATTTTCTTGCAGGATTATGTAAAAACTGATTTAAGAAGAATGTACAGTAATGAATGGCAGATTAAATTCATCAAATTAATCGATTAAATGCATCTATTCTAAAGAAATGATCGCACAGACTTGTTTGGAAGTAAAACAGTATCGTGTCAGAGCTTTGAGTTGTATCAGGAAGTGCACACCTGAACACACAAACTGTATTCACTGTACTCTCACAAACACCTTTGTTTGTGCAAAATCTGTAGGCTAGAGGCTGACGGTGAAGCGTCAGTATCGTGACTGAATAGACTGGAGTAAGTGCGGACACGAGGGAGCTGGATGTGACTGTCGCACGCCGACTCAACGCCAAGGCCCTTTTTTTTCACTCTCGGCCCCGAGGGTATAACTGGCCTCCCTTCAAAGGAGGAAGCTTAAAAACAATCTCCAAAAGAGTGAAAGCGGTGCTGGGTTGTGGTGGGCGTCAGTCAACCAGTCAGTCACCAGTCAGTCAGTCAGGCAAGAGCCCCGCTGTCTCCCACTCCAGAGAACAAGGTACCTTGAACTAGTTTCTACAAAGCTGAGTCGGAGATTTAATGCAATATAAAGCCTCTGGGTCCTTTTAGCAATTTGGAGTCAACACACAAATACGCCCACACTCAACTGGAAAGACTTTCCATCCCTGCCCCTTCATGTGCAAATGTGCTGAATGGAGGTGTGTAAGTATGTGCTAGCAAGTGTCTGTGTGTGCTCAGCTTCCCTACTGAGTCCTTCCCACTACTCCCTCCTTCCCTTTTCTGATCTGCTGCAGCACATCATTGGCTGTTCGGCTATAAAAAAAAGAAAAAAACGGTACAGAAACACACAGTGCTAGCTTTTTTTCCTTTTTTTAATAACTGTCCATTTAAACCGCAATCTTCCAATGTGTTTCCCACCCACGCTGTGTGGGGTGAAGCACGCAAGTAATTTACCACATGATGATCATTCAGCAAAGTGAGGAGTTGTTAATACCCTGCAGATTGTCAAATCTGTTCCTTTGTGAGAACAGGTTTTATCCGTGGAAAAGTTCTTGATGACACCCAATCACATGATCACCATATGGCGATGCCGCAATATAAAGTTTTTCTCCAGATGCCAGAAATGAAATGTTGACTCCTGCAGTAGCAGACAGAGGGCTGCTCTTGACACTGTCTGGGTGATTGGCAGTATTTCCAGCTGCTGCCAGACTTGGGAGCCTGTGAAGGCTGAATGTTGTTATGCTGACATCAGCTTTGGCATCTGTTGCATATTTGAAGTAAGGGAACAGATTAAAATCCTCAAACACTGTGTTGTTTCCTGGAGATTGTAGGGACACAGTGGATTATCCATCAATCCTATCCTATCCAGTTGAGGGTCACAGTGGGGCTGGAGCCTTTCCAGGTGTGATGGGGCGAGAGGTGGACAAGCCATGTTTTTGGTCTTTGGGAAGTACTCAGTGCCCCAGCAGGTGGATTCGAACCCATGATCTTGCTATGAGCTGATGGTGCTAGCTATTGTAACACCATGCCAACCATTAATGTTTTGATATTCTCTTTTTACGGCCAGTTTAGCTGATCATTTAATTTGCCTTTTTGAGGCTAAGGAGAATACAATAATTTTACTGTGAGCTGTCAGATTGAGCTGTATTAACATAATGTGTTTAGTTCCACTCTGAATGCAGAGAGTGCATATGTGTGTTACATATTTTACTGGCTTTGAGAAGTTCTGGCAGAAATGTCCTTTGTCTGACTTGTTTTGCACATTCAATAAAATTGACAGCTATTCTGAAAACTGAAGCTGAAAGCAAATAGTTTGATTCGCCATCAACCAGTGTGTGCGGATGGGAGCCGACGCCGGATAAATAAAAAGCAACAGTCCCTGGGCTACAGAGCCTGAGGCTATTGCATTGCTAGCAGGCAAACAGCCACCTAGCTGCCCCAGCAGGGTAGGAATATATCAGGCAGCCTATTGGATACCTGACAGCTGATTTAGCTCCCCCTTAATGAGCAGAGGGCTCCGCTGCAGAAACTCCACAATCTGTTACATAACAACATCACAGACAGCACACCCTGTACGATGCAGACCGCTGAGGACGGTGGACTCCTTTGAAAACGAGCCGCGCTACGTTCAGTAAAAAAATAAATCCTACGATAATAAATGAAAATGTAAATATACAGAAAGATGTGTGGCTAATGTAATAAATGCAGTTGGAGAATATACTCCTGTGTGTTTAAGAAATGAGTTTTCAAGTGAGCCAGTTAGGAGGAAAAAAAACATAGCGATGCCACTATTTTTATTGGCAAGGTTTTTTATTATGTTTTATGATTATGTCAGTCGTCAGTTAAAAAATACTGGAATGCACACTGCTTGGAGGATATGGCTGACTTCAGTTCATTGTTCATACTGAGTAGAAACTGTAGCCAATAATTATTTAAATCACCTCTTAATACTTTCTTAAATATTGACTTCCACACTCGCTGGAGGCAACGCTAATCTGTAAAAACAGTTTTTGTACTCGCTGAACTTGGACTGGACCTCTTTTGTTCTCATGTTTTTGTGGTTAGAAACATTCCAGCATTGTAAAAATAGATGGTTGGCAAACGGTTGCTGGAGGTTGCTTGCTGTCGCTAGGCAAAAATGGCAACAAAGAGGTGCACGGTGCTGCAACTAAAACCACCTCACAATTTATTGGGTCGCTGTGGTCGCCAGCAGCATGGAAGATACCGACTTGGTTGCAAACACACAACTATTTGCTAGTTGGTACTGACACTATGAAATGTGCAACACAAAGTGGAAACGGAGACTGTTTGCCTTTATGTCAAAGTTGAAATGTGCTGGTTTCGGCAGAAAGGCACAACTTTTACTTTGAAAGTGAAGAGTTTCCATTTTTAGTTTGTGCATCCAAAGATACGTACACGGGTATTTTTGTAAACTGAGATTTTCTGTTTTTGTTTACATGTAAAAATAAAAAACGAAGTCAAAAGCTGTCAAGGACATAACAAAGCAACAGGTGGTGGTATAATCCTAACTGTGTAGAAATGTTGGCCAATCAGAAGTCTAGAAGAGGAAACAAAGATGGCGCAAAGAAGCAGTCTTTCTAAATGGAGGGGCAATAACTGTGTGTGTATATGTAAGAGTGTAAAAACTGCAGATAGTAAGATTAACAGCAACAGTGTTTTGTTCATATCCGCCAATGTAGAAATTCATCTCATGTACGCACAGCGTCATCATAAAAGGCGCACACCTTTGACGTAGCGTGACTAAATCTCAGTTTTCCTCGTCCACAAGTAAACGCAAAAAACGAGTTTTCTAAAATCTCAATCCTGGCAGGAATTTATAAGAATCTCGGTCTTCAGTGATCGAAACACCGTTTACGTGTGGACGAAAGGCCCAAATGCATAGAAACAGCTGTTTTCAAAAATACTTGCATACATGTGGACGTAGCCCAAGTTTCACTACCGCTTGGCAAGTAGTTGGTGAGTATTTGTAAACAAGTTGGTGTCCACCAAAGCAAATGTGGAATACAAAATCTTCTATAAGTGATCAGAGGTTGCTCAGAGGTTGCCAACCAGTCTCTAGGCCTGTGTGACTGAAGCCTATAGGAGCTGGGTATTGTTGGTTTCAGGAGTAGTAAGATACATTTATTGGGAACTGTTTTCAGCTGTGGAACAACACACATTTGGTACTGAATTGTTACAGTAAAGGGACTATAAATTATAAAGTACATGTTTACTGCAATGAGGAAAAATGTCAACCAGAGCGACAACTCTTTTGTTTTTTTTGTTTTTTTGTAGTTTTCATAGAATCATTTAGCTTTATGCTAAACTGCACCAGGAAACGGCTGAACATGCAGCTCCTTCTGGGAAGATCATCTGATTTATTTATAAGTTTAATTTGCTCAACATAAGAAACATACAACATATCCTCGATGTTAAGGAAGGCAGTCATTATAATGAAGAGCAAGGACACAGTCCTTTTATTTGTGCATATTACTGAGCAGTTATTTAAAACGGCAATTACATTAGCAGAAATGTGTTTAGACCCTACAATAGATTGGGTTTCACTTTCTCCCATTATTTACACAGTAATATTGCTTATTGCTGAGCATTGAGTGCAAACACTTACAGGGAATACACAGTAATGTTGAACATGTTGCGTTAACTAAATCATTCAGTAAATGCTCTATTTAGATATTAAAGTGTAACAGCAAGAAAGCAGCACTGTAACAATCAATGGAAACTAAAGTGGCTACTGAAAACCAGACTCTGACCTTAGCCAGACTGCCTTGGAAGTATATATGTTCTGACAACACAGATGTCAGAGGGGACCCTCAGGACCCCAGCCTGTCACCGCGGGCCAGCAGAAGAGAGGAAGGGGTCCAAGTTATTCTGGGCCAGGCCAGTAAGGGAATGGGTCACAGTTCACTGTGTATACCCTGCTGCTTTAGCACCGGCTGACAGGCCACAGGAGTCTGAAAGTCCATGATGTACTGGCATTTGCTGGGCTCTTTCACTGATCGCAAGGCTGTCTCCGTTCCGCATGTCAGTGTGACCTAGAAAAGCACAAAGAAAGAGAAGTTGAGGTTGAGAAGAGCCATTGTTAGCCTGAGTCAAGAGCCGTGGCAGTTTGATCACACAAAGGGAGCTGATTAAAGTTGACCTGCCACTTGTTTTACAACCTCTCTTAAAGTTTTGCGAAGAAGTGGGGCTTGCTACAAATGACAAAATTATACAGAAGGAACCGCTGACTTGTTGTGACTTTGCGTGAAGCAAAGTGTTTCTGTGAGTAAGAGCGAGCGTGGATTTATGGGACACCGCCGCTGTCGTCCCCGCGAGCGAACAGGACAGGGGGAGGATGCGATTACTGCTGTCACGACTTTAATAGGTGACTTTGACGCCCCCTGCAAGAGAGCGGAGGGGAAAACAACTTCTTTTACTTGGGAGTGGTTTCCATGGCAACCCCTCTCATCATTCAGCACCCTGAACAGACAATCCCTTTGGCGAACAAAAGCACCTGAAGAGGCAGAGATGGGAACCTGGCAGGTATTGTTGTGCAGAAGTTTCAGGCTAGTAGAAGTGGTGATTTGGCTTTGTCCCGTAGGGAGACTAAAATAGTCTTTTGTTATGTCACTTAGTATCTTGTTGCACTGAGATATTAAGTGGGTGTGCGCTGCTTGATGAGACAAAGTCTTTTCTGTCACGCTTGTCCATGAGTATTAGCGGTCTGGTTTTAATTTGCAGGTGAAGGAGCGATAGCTCAGTCTTGGTGGCGATTTATCCTTTGATACACTACATGTAATAATGTAAGACAGCAGTAGTAGAAAACACATCTTACGAGGAAGTGTGGAAGAATTGGTTGATTAACAGGCAGTTATGCAGCACTGTGGGAAATCCAGATCCATGGATTTTAGACTTTGGCCCATAAAAGGGACCACAGAGCAAGACAGATCGGCTTCTGCATTAATTGTCTGGAAGCCCCTAAACCGTACATTTTAAAGTGACGCCACAACACGTGATTAGTCACCGGGGCAGCTATAGCTCAGGACGTAGAGCAGGTCATCGATCAAATGAAGGTTTGGTGGTTCGATCCCTCGCTGCTCCAGTCTGCATACCGCTGTATTCTTCATCATATGCTATGACTTGTTTTGGTCAGCTAGTTCTCCTCTGTGGGGATATGACCCTTGAAAGTTTTACGGTTTTCTTCACTGAAAACTTTCCTCGGTGAATGTAAAGCTTACAGCTAGGGCCAGAACAGGTGACCCTGAACTATCCCTATGCTATGCTGCAGGTAGGCTGGTGGGGGCTGCTGATCATGCACTGAGCATTTCTTCTTCACTCCCCATATGTTTTTACATCACTGCTGCATCTCATTAAAAGTTTTCTCTCTACCACAGCTTGTTTTGCCCAGTCTCCCTGTGCTCTGACCCCTCAATTGAATGGGTTGCAGTTTCTAACAGAGATTAAATGTGTTATTCAGCCCTGAAAATGTCAGCGCTGTACTTACGAGTGCTCAAAAATGCTGAGAAAAATAAGTCAAATAAAAGCACTAAAATTTCAAACCATGCTTAAGTACATGCAGGGCCTGTAATCTGCAAAAGCTTCATAGTATGAAAGTTAAATTTTGCAAACTCCCATTAAATATACTAAAAATATTATTCTGGAGGAAAAACACCCTCTGTGCTTTTCCTTTTTGATAAAACTCATAGTTAGAGCTGGATCGGGTGACCCTGAATCCTTACTGTAGTTTTGCTGCAATAAGCCTGGACTGCTAGGAGCTTCCCATGATGCACTGGTCCTTCTTCAGTCACTGTGTTTATACACCACTCTGGATTTAATCATTAGTGTTTATTAATCTCTGGCTTTTTCCTACAGTGTGTCTTTTGTCCTGGCTCCCTCTTCTCCTCCCCAACCAGTTGGGGCAGATAGCCGCCCCTCCCTGACCCTGGTTCTGCCAGAGGTCACGGGAGGTCATGTGATTGTCAGGGTTTTTGTCTATATTATTGTAGGGTCTTTGCCTTATAATATAAATAGCCTTGAGGTGACTGCTGTTGTGTTCTTGTTGGCTTAGGTTTTCTCTTCAAACTCTTAAAACAAGTGGTTTGGTCACCTGTTCAGGGGGTTTTTACCCACGTATTTAGCAACGCTAACCCACACTCAGAGTTCAGCAGTTCATTCTGTGACTACAATACTGTCAAAATCACAGTCAGTGCCACAAAAAGCAGATCGCAAATGTAATAATCTGGAATTATCCATGAATGAGTCAATGAAAGGAGCTGGTTTAGATCCGGCTGTGGTAGCTGTAGCTCGTGCTTAATGACCACAGACACAGAATTAATAACTGAAAGAGTTGAGTTCACCTTTCCCCACAGACACACAAGATAAACTGTGCACCGCTTGAATTTGGATTACCCCAATATCCACCAGCAAAACAATACAACACTGGCGCCTCTTCTCCAGCATACATGATGGTACGCTGCAATGAAAGAGTGTGCTACCCAAAGCTGAGGTTCAGCCTTTCAAATATAATGAGCGTCTACTTCTGACAAGACTTTATTTATGCCGTCTGCGCAGAGTTAGGGGGTCGTATCAAAGGGGGGGCCTGGATGGCATGAGTACATGCATTTGCAAATGACATTTATTGGACTGATTTGAAGAGGGGGGCCAGGCACAGAAAACCAGATGATTAAATGTCCTTTATTTTTAACTGAGCAAATTTCTCACACACAAATGCAAATGGATGTCATAAAGACTGGCTGAGAGAGGGCATGATGCTGGGAATATGTCGAAGAGGAGAATGCTGCAGAAGAATGCAAACGGAGCAGCAACATTAACCATGAAAACCAGTGCAGACTGACAAAGAGTGTGCGTGTCGGGGGGGTAAGTCACTTTCAATCACTTGGCTCTGGACATAACATATTTTTGCCAGGCTGCTGAGCACGCCATGAGGACTGATTGACTCGATCCTGATTGTTGAAATGCTCATGCCCGGGATGAGGCAGACCGGGACACAGATCTCATTTTATTTCCTGGTTAACAGAAGGAGCTCAGTTTGCCTGTTTCCTTTAGTTTTCTCTTAGTGCAGTGTCCATTTACCCTGCTCTGACTTGGCGTCGAGTCAAGTGTTCATCTTGTTGCTTTCCCTAGAACTACAATAAGATTTGCAGCCTTGCCTGCATGTGCAGGGTGGTAGCTCTGCTCCTGGTACCCTGCTTATAAAATGAGAGGAAACATTAGTGTAATTACTAAATTATTCTCCAACTGAATTCAAATAAAATAGGCTCTCTATCCCATCTTTTATTTTGGGTGGAGTTATAATGAGTTGTGCACAGCCTTCATCCTTCCATCTGCTTGTCTGACAGTCTGTCAGTGTGTGCGTATACCATTTGTTCATTTGAATATCTGTTATTCATGTCTGCCTCTTGGTGCTCTCATTACTGTAAGAGGGTTTGGGCTGTAAAGGATGATTAAAGATATATACAGTTTGTTGTGCTTACTGTAGTACTGCGTGAACCTCCTTGCCAGCAGGGCTCTCCATTCTCATAGACCATCTGACTGTAGTGGTTCTTTGGCTTTCCTGTCCACATCCCCCACATCCTGAAAAATGTTTAAAAATGAAATGACCCAAGACATAATATGTTATTTTATTTAAAGGTACAGTGTGTAAAATTTCACCACTAGATGTCAGTGCATCGCCGATTGCATTCAACAGAGTTCTGTTTGCTTTCTCCTTCAAATTTAAGTGCATTATTGTCGTTACGGTGGCTGCTGCAGGACAAACATGTTTTAGTCAGCCAAGAGAGAGAATTATTTAGATTGTACCCCATGTATCCAACAGGCACAACGTGTAAAAACACATTTTAGTACAAACTATATTTGAATAATATCAACACTTTACAATAAATCGGGAATTTAAAAAAACATCAATTAAATATTTTGCAGTATTTTATGTTTTCACCCTCCCGAGCAGTGGTGGGAATAACGGCGTTACTTTTTTCAGTAACGAGTAATCTAACTTATTACTATTACTATCGTTACAACACCGTTACCGTTACTAACTAGAAAATGCGGTGCAGTCGCGTTACTGTTTTTCAACAAACAGACGGCTGAAGCTGTGTTCAGCTTACTGCACCTTATACCAGTTGCACGGAAGTCGCTGTAAGTAATCTGGGCGCTACAGCTTTAAGCAGCTGCGGTAATCTGTAATCACGATAATCATGGTAATCACGATCACTGCCCCCTTAGCCTGGAGCTAAGGGGGCAAAACAATCACATGAGTGCTGCTGTTGGACTAAGGAAGAATATAGTAGTCGTGGTAAGCCAATCACATGACCACTTCAAGATGACAAAGCAACAAGGTGATATATACCAGTTTTTAAATTGCGTTGAGAGGCCACGTCAGTCCACTGTTTACCTCAGCTGCCTATGCCGGGTCAAAAACAGCCGTGTCTATAATGATTGATTAATGAATGACTCGATGAGTCAGTGACGCTTACTTCTGTCTGATGATATCGATACTGAGGATATCGTGGGCTTTTCTGTCAGTAAGCGCTGCTGTTATTGTCGCTGTTAGCTAGCGTTGCTGAAACGGTTTTTGAAATGGATCTAACGCTGGATCTTAGTGAATGATGCTTGGTAAACTTAGCTGGCTGCTGTTTAGTCAGCTTGCTTTTCAGCTGTCCAGAGATGGGAGGGTCGCAGGAGTAATCTGATTTATCTAATTTGGTAATAAGCACATTTTTTGTGTTAGAACTCAAACTTCAGTTCAGGAGATGAGGCCTGAGGTGAAGAGGAAGAGGTTGACATTTTGATGCCAGTGACGTTGTCTTTTTCCTTCGTGTTTTTCCTTCTTTGGCGAAGCGGACCTCTTCTCCATAAAAGTAAAACACAAGTAAGAGTCCTCATATTTTGAAGGTTCAGTGAATGTTCCTCCACTACAAGTGGACACCATCGAGTTCCCCTCTGCATTTCGAATATTACATATTTGACCACCTCTAGCCACATAGGTAAAACACAAATGGGTGGAAGGGCAATGTCCACCTCGGCCACTGTGTTCAAGATGACGGGGCAACATGACAGCGTCTTCAAAAGAGCGCCCACTTGTATGTATTTTTAATAGATCTTTTTGAGAACACATCAATTAATTAAACACTAATCAATGTATATTTGAATATAATATTATTTTTTCTATTAAATAACCTAAAAAAAAAAAAACGACTTAATGCACCTTTAAGTTTGTGCATGTGTGTCTTAAAAATGGTCTTTTAAGAGTTAACCAGGACCAACTCCGCCAAAAAAAACACAACTTTTTTCCTTTTTTGTGAACACCACTCAGTTGGCTTATTGAAAAACACTTTCTCTCAGCGAAAATAAAAAGCTGGCAAGATGGGCAGCCTGGCAGTGCCCTTGTTTGGTTCCTGGCACCGACAATCACGTCCCCTCTCCTGTTCAACAATGGAGGGGAAATATTAATTACCGTTTTGTCAGAATTAATACTGTGTGCAGGAGGGAAGGAGAAGAGGAAAACAGAGAAGCCTATCTCGAATGAGGCTGTGCCTGCCCAGTGCTAGCTAATTACATTCTCACCAAACATTTCAAGGGGAGTTATAAAAACCAAAGCAAACCAGGGTGCCAGTGGACTCCATCCAACACAGTAGTGACAGATGCCATTTCATTATGTTTTTACTGGCTAACTTCCTCTGATCTTTTGTTGAGCTCGAGCAGCTTCTTTGAGGTGGTGTCAACTGTAGCGGCGCTGGTGGTAAGCACTGATTTTTTTTAAAAAGATTGTAATCCTGTTGAGGGGGTGGAGGGGGAGTCTCGGTGCATGACTGACTGAAGATTTTATTGAAATATGTCTTGCTCTGATCTCTTGCCTTCTTGTTCCAGCTAGGAACTATTTTCCTGTCAACACAAAGCACGAGTAATAGAATCAATCTTTGCCTCACTTTCCAGAAAACACACAGCAAATGGGGAAAAATAAACCTGCAGCCCCTCCCCCCTCTAATGGCTTGTTGGCCTTCTATTAATCAGCCAAGATAAAGAGCTGCAAAAAGCTATAAATTCAAAGTATTGTTTTAATTTGCACAAGTGCATCTGTCACCAATCCTGTCACAAGGACCCAGCCCTTGATCAATGTGCTTGCACTGACGCAGGGGATTAACATAGCAAGAGCTGCTCTGAGTATTGCGTTTAGTATTATGAAGGCTAATCTGCTTTATTTCATGACCTATTATGATATTTTTATTGGTGGTCCTAATTGATCTCAGAAGGATATGACGCTGACAGCTTGACATTGAGTAAAGTGCATTGCTCTTAAGCTCAACAACAACAAAAATTTGTTAGTTTTTTCGTTTTTGACCCAAGTTACCATAAATCTTAAACGACACACATGAAATAATAATAATTGTTATTATAGTCATAATGAGAGGCTGTAAACAAATAAAGGACTCTCTATTCTGGGTGTTTAAGTTGTTTCCAAGAAACAAACCTTTGACCTTGACAAGAGAAAATATGGAGTGATCTGATTTCAAAAACACTCTCCTGCTCGTACGGACACACGGCCGTCTTCAGGTCCCCGAGTGTGACTTTTCTGCTCTCCTTGATGCGCATGGCTTATTTAAGACGCCCGAACGGGTCAGTCGAAGGTGAATTGCTCACACAAGTGGGAGCCGGCTCCTTCGAGCCTGTTTGATTGGGTTTTAGCACTCTGTTAGCATCAGGAGGCCCTCGAATGGATTGCTGTCAGGGCCGGCAGACATGCCAAGTGGAGAAAGCGACAGCGCTCCTGCTCTCGTTGCGAGTTGACCGGCGATCCCTTGCGCATCACTTCTGCGCCGGCTCATCCATCGCGACCCCCTCCAGCCCCCCCAACCCCCCTAACACGCACACACAGCTCATTCCCTCGCCTCACCTTCTTTCACTTCCTTCCTTAATCTCCATTCTCACTCTGTCAGCTCTCTCGTGCCCCAGGAGGCGGCATAGGCCCCCGTCAATTAGGCTTGAGTTATTGCTGAGATATAGCCAACACAATCCAGTGTTCCAGTCGGGAGATGGAATCTTATTGACAGATCATTCCCCGTAATAATACCTACTCGCAGTCGGTATTGGCAGGCCGTTTTATAAAGCCATTCCACACTTATCAACAGACTAGTGCACTGCCAGGTGTTCACACCTGTGGAAAAAAGCTTAATTTCAAGACACCAGGGTGCATAAACATTACTATATGTTACTCTGACCCCGTGACAGACAATATAGCTGAACCCAAATGTGCAAATTGACCCCTCTGGCTCAGTGACAACTTCATTTTCTCATCCAATTTGTCACAGTTTGGCTTTAAGCTGCAGCCATGACACAAATCATGCTCGCTCACACTTGTAGCAGCAGGGTCAGTCTCCTTAAATGATCTGCTTTACTATATGTATTTTCTTGTTGGCTGATCTACTGCACCTGTTTGAACAGAGCTACAGAGATTCCAAACATTACTATTCAAACAGCGACGAGAAACAAACAAAAAAAACAGACGTCTTTTTCTGGTTTTAGAAGAATAGCGTGGATGAACATATTTTGAGTATGTAAATAGATTAGCGCTGCCAGCGGAGGGTAGAAATCCATTTCCAACCACAGGAAACGAACCCAGACTTCCTTTTTAATGATTAATGATGGAAGATATTGAAGCCATGCTCTTTTTCAGGCTTAAAACGTCCACAATCTTATTTCCAGATATCTGCGTTACAATCCTTTCTTTGTCTGGCCTCTCTTAATGCTATAAAAGGCACCTTCCATCAAAGATAAACCTGTAATAGCAGCGTATCCGGCCAGCTAAAACTATTATCCATACATCTAGTTTGCATTGCTGGTGAGATGGTAAGCCTCGGAGAATCCAGACATGCCTCTTACCCGTGCACATTAGGGAGCCAATTTCATTTAATTTGGTCTCCACTAAGGTGTGATATCTATTGATATACTGAAAAGCAGGTGGAGTTGTGATTTCATTTAATCCAGTGCCCACAAACAGGCCTGCTGTGTGTGTTTATATGTATATATTAGAAACGATGGGGGTGGGACTACAATATGTTGTTGATTATCCAAACTGTCACTTCAGGAATTTGAAACAATACTTTATAGCTGTCAGAGCAGTTTGGTTTTTTTTCTTTTAATATATATAATCTAATCCTCATGAAGAGTAATTAGCATTAAAAGAGCTGATTAGGCCCCTTTTCTTCTTCTGATAATGACTTGAGCTGATATAAGCTCCTCTTATTTCTCAAAAATGATGTGGTCGCCAGCGATTCTGTTTTAAACTTCATCGCAGTGCTAATCCGTATGCCTCGAGTGATAAATCCCGAAGATCCACGGCTAATCTCGCTCAACAATGACAGGAGAGTTACCCCCTCTGATACGGCCACAAATCAGCCTTTCAGAAGCAATTATCATTTTGGACAACTCTACTCTGGTGCTGAAACACCCTGCAGATACCGAGCGGGGGGAGAATCTGGGCCAGAAGTGTATTTTTGCATGCCTTAATGGGCATGTCAGTGTGTGAGACCCCAGGCCTTCACTGGAGAGGACCATCAGGAAAAGAAGACCACGGTGGC